TTTCACTATTCAAACAGAAGCTTCTGCTTTGGTTATGACAGGAGCTGGACTCTGCTGAAGGGGGAAAACATCACTGCACGAAGATTTAGCAGCAACAGGAACAGATAGTGCAAGGCCTCTCCACTCCCACTGCCTTCTCTTACATTTTCTCATTTTCTAAGCACAAGATGAAAAATGCTCAGTGGCAGCAAGAGCTCTGCTACTCACTACATGTGATGCAGAGGCTTAACTTCCTTGCTTTCAAACAACGGCTACAAGGAGGAGGGAGAAACAAGAAGGAACTGAAGTACTTGACAAAAGGGAAAAACTCACACAAGCTCAACTCCTGGAGAGAACTACTGTGATATTATGGGAAATGTTACTCCATATTCTTCACATTATATTTTCACACAAATTGACAGTTCTGTGTTTAACAGTTCACAGGGGAGCAAACCAAGACCAGGAGAACTGAGGTCCCATCAACGCCACTTTGAATACCCTTTCTTCTAGAGCATCTTAATGGGCTTTCAAACCTTCAGGTTTTTAAGTTCTGATGTTCATTCTCATGGCTTCAGAGTTTCTATCATAATTGCATTCGCTAGTTCAAGATTTTCCTGTCAGTGTTGTTTTGCATCTCTCCTCCTGAGACCAGGAAACTCTGTGAACCAGCAGTAAAAATGGAGAGGGTTTTTGCACTGTATCATACCAAGAGGAAAGTCCTCATTTTCTTATGCTGCCTTGAAAATTGTAAACACATGGGAATCTAAGAGGTTTGAAAAATATCAGAATAACAAGATGCAAACAATAGTTATTAAAAGTAGATAAAAATATTCCAAGAGCTGAAAGGGGGGGTAGTGGTGTCTCAAATTAAACAATTACTTGAACAAGGCTGCTCAAATTTCCTATCCTGCTTGTATTCTTATGGAAAGAAAAAAAAGTAAGCCTGGAATCACAACGGCATCACTTTAGAGGTGCTGAGGCTACTCTTGGAGCTGCTTCTTGCCCAAACAGCTAAGCTGTCTGCCATCAATCTGCTTCTGGGGTAAATAGGATACTGGCTACTGTCCCAAATTCAAGCAATACAAACAAACAGGAAAGAAAGAAATCTGTTACATTTGTAAAATGAAATAGCTGGAGAGCTCTATGGCAGTGCTGAGCCCCTGAACTTGCTAGGGACACTCTTCCTCTCCCAAGAGATTGCACTTGCCTTTGAACTTTCAGCCATATAGAAAAAAGGCTGAGTTGAAATGTCAGCATCATCTTGGATTCAAATCAATCAGCTTGATGCATGATTGCAATAGCTAAACCACTTCACCTCTGCACTGCCCTCGTCCATATGTTCTTTATATCAGCAGTCAGCAGACTGGGTGGCTCAGTGGATTAATTTCCTGTCCTAGGCTTGGGCTCCAGTTTAAACAAAACAAAAAAACCTGAAACTGGAAAATAAAAATTAGCATCTACTGACAGTTAAATTCACCAGACTTGTTTGCATCAAGTCTCTTTCTCCATCCAAAAAACGTTGCAAGAAACCCTCTAGGAAGCCCTGGTACAACCGGTGATTTTTAACTGTCTACTCAACTAGCTGGTCACAGTTCTACAAAAACAATAAAGAAATTAGAGACCTTTCAAATGTTGACATACCTTTGGATGAGGGTAAAGCAATGAAGGGAAGGAGAGAGAGCCCCAAGCAGTGTCAACTTGAAACAGACTGGAAGTATCCATCCCCACCTGAGTAAATGAATAGCCCACTGAGTAGCAAAATCTCCACCCACTTCTAGAGGTGGGCTTCCTCCAGACCATGCTGCTCTTTATCAGCCTCAGTGCAAGAGTTAAATTCCCATGATAATTTAAATCTAAACAATGTGCAGCCTTCAGCATTAATGTAAGTGCCTGCCAGCTGGTGACAGTTAAGTGGTTACTTTCTGAAGCCAAACTTATTAGCTAAGGATCAAGACAGTCTGTAATAATTGAATTGCATTTAACAGTTTGCTCTGTGAGAGTGCATGTCACTGTGGAAGGGGAGTTTTCTCCTTGAAGGTGTGTCACAGCAAGCCAGTCTCATCAGGAGTCTGTCATACTTCAGGGCTAGGCATCCAGGCTGGACTATTTCCTTTGCAGAAGAAAAGCTGACCTACCATCGGGGCGATAACAAATATGCATGTCGGAAATAGCTGCACTGCAGCCTTTGGATGATTGCAAGTTCTTTGACTTGGTTTCCTTGGTTGACCCTCCCACCATCCTATCTTTCCTCATAAACTGCTAAAAGAATAAATTTTAAAAGGGCAAGGAAGGCCTCATAAAAGGACAGCTAATAAAAATAATCCATCCTCTGCATAGGCTACAGTGACTCCCCCAAAGACACTGTTAAAAAAAAAAAAAAAAAAAAAGAAGTATCAACCCTGCTCACTGGGGATTAAAGAAGGAATCAATTGATAGGATGTCTGAAGCCTCAAGATGCAAAAACCACCATCAGTCCAAAGAAGGGACCCCGCAGCCATGTCCATGCACACACAACTCCCCAAACTGCTCTGTGTGCTTAACCAATGATTACCTCCCGGCTTGGTCCGTCCTTCACATGAAAATGCAACCTTACGGTTCAGAGCCCTTTGGGAAAGAAAACTTTTTACTTCAGCCTCTGGAAACGGGAGACATCTTGAAGTGGAAACTCAGAGCCACTGTGGCTGCCATTCTGCTGACACATGGAGAAAGAACAACACTGCCTGTCAGGGAATTAGAGCATTTGCAACACAGCAAGAAGGCACGTTAAAAATAGTGCAGGTCTAATCTGCCTTCAGTCGTGCCTATCTCACATCAACTTCAAAAGCACCAGCTGCACATACAAGTGCAATGAAATATTGCGGAGAAATCTAACTAATACCATAAAAAGATTAAAGCATTTGAGGTTCTACCCTGCTAATTCACGATGGCTTCATAACTGCACTATTTTTGTTTTGTTTCAGTTTAGTTTTCTGTTTTCTTTTGTCTGCTGTTTCCAGGAAGGACTCACACAGATGTAAGCATCCTACCCCCTCAGAGGAACTGCATTTATGGTAGGAGAGAGTACAGAAAGGACAGAGTACAAAAGGCTTTATATCAGTTGGCCAAAAAGCCCTAAAAAACCTCCTTTCAGCCTCTTTTATTTACAATTCCAAGTGACACTAACATTAAGAATTAACATAAGAAGCAAGTAAATACCTCAAGTTTAAAATTGATGCCTCTGGACAGCTTGAGGTGCTGTGCACAGCACTAGTGCCAATACTGCTGCTCGAAATTTAGTGGCACAACCCCGCTGTACTAGAAAGGGGTCTTTTTTTAAAATTTTCCTCCTTCTTTCAAGAACATGGGACTGTCGGTAGCACCAGATGTTTTAGGGAGGAAAAAAAAGGTAAAAAGAATCTCACACATGAAAGTGAGGGCTTGCTACTGGCTTTCAGCTCACACTCCACAGACCGTGTCCAAGCCCAAAAGAACAGTTCCACCTTGAAAACTGACTGCATAAAATTGTCACCTCGTTCCACAGACCTGCTCCTGCGAGATCACTGCTGACTTTCTCAAACAAGCTTATGTTGGCTTTTTATTTCCACTGAACTCTGCTGAGACAGATCTGGCACCGCGGGAGGGAGCTGGATTCTCTCCTTTACACCAGCAGCACCACTAAGCTGTAATTACTCACACCTGTCCAAACCTACAGGCACGAAGGGGCTGCACACACGGGCTTCTCGGGTCCCCGGTCAGATCCGTGGCCAGTCTGAGCTGCAGCTACTTTGGAAATAACAGGTCTGCCACAATCCTTATCATCCCTCTCCCCTGCAGTGACAGGTAAAAATCCAAGCTGCACACAGCAGCTTCTCTTTCCCAGGCTCACTTCTTTTAGCAGCATGCTAAAATGCAAAGGTCTCTCCTGCAGACTGCGATTTAGGGTAGCTTTGCCACTTTTTAAGATTTTTCTTGAGCTTCTGGGAAGCTATTGTTTCCTCAGCAGCCTGAAGCGAGCTGCTGTCTGCAACCATCATTCTTTGTGACTGCAATGAGAAAACTTCCTAGATAGACATTTGCCTGAATTGTGTGATTAGCATCAATATTGCAGCACGGGGAACATGAGCTGCAGCTACAAACAGAAAAGCCCTAGAGAAGTTGGACAACCCCAGTGACCCTTCGCCAGCCAGCAGAGACAGGCTGTGTTGACCTCACGCAAATGAACAGAAAACTCAAGGCTTAGTTCCTTTCCGATTCACAGCCATGAACACTGATGCCAGATTCAGCAGATGCCCTGGCATCTAAACCTGAAACTCGATGGAGAAGCAGGACCAAGAAGCAACAGTTAAATAAGAAAACATGCCCTTTTTGTCCACTGTTATGAGAAAGGAAAAACCTCTCCATTCTTCCAGCTCTGGGAAGAGCCCTGTGTTTTCCTCAGTGTGAAGGTTCAGATGCCAAACCCAGAGCTGTGTTTTCACATGCACTGTGCAACCTGAATGTTGCACCTGTAAGTCAGGGGGAGGGCAGGAAGGAGAACAGAAGGTGCCCAATTTAATTCAAAACTCTCTGGAAACACAGAGTATTATTTGTGTCCAGGCCTTACAGGCATAAAATTTCTCTAATCAACCATCCAGGGACTGGTTTTCATCAGCTACAGCAACTGATGGTGATGACCGTGGGATGTGGAGAAGATACACGCTGACATGGAGAAAGCACATTTTCTGAAGGACTGTGCAATGGGGACACCAAGCATGAGCACATTGATAAACAGGTCATCCCTGAGTACCCATTTCTTCATTTCTTTCCCCTCCCTGTTCAGGTTTCTTTGCAGGTATTCAGTACGGTCTGTTTTCCAAGACCACCTTTTGGACCTTGTCTGGGAACATTCAGATAATGATGGGGAGTGAAGAGACTAGGTGATGTGTTCCTGTGTTTGAGACACACAGATCAAATTAAGGAACAAAACTCAGCTCATCCCAGCCAGTCCATCCACACATCCGCTTGCTGCTCTGTAAGGACAAATGCATTGCTGGATAACTTACCCTCTTCACAGTTGCTCCCCGTGAAGCCAGGACAGCATCTCCACTCCAGCGTGGTCACAGTTCGGTAGGACATTTTGTACGTGGGCCTGATGAGAGTCCTGTAACTAACACAAACAAGAAGTCAGTAGAATGCACTTACACTCAAGGGTGGTGTTGCTACTAATTTGTAGCGCATCTTCCTGCCTGGATATATCCCCAGACCACCCAGCCACCCCCAGCTGCAGGAAAAGGAGACACACAAAATAACAGAGCAAGGGTTTACCACAGCATGGATCTGATTCAACAACCCTTATTTTACTCCTTAAGGCCTCATACACTTCTGGCTCTTCCCCGCGCCTCTCCCCCAAACATGACCAGTATGCTTTGTGGAGGTCTCATCACTACCAGTCATTGCAGGTAGCAGAGATGATGACTTTTGTTTCCCTCGCTCTGCCTCTATGTGGATTCCTCTGACACTGAACAAAGCCTGACATTAATCTTTGCTCACTCAGTATCGTTAGAGTTTCCAAAACATTATTCTTACAAGGATTGTATAAATCTCTCAGGTGTCTTCCTTTCTCCCACCACTCAGATCCCCTGGGGTGTGTTGACACATCAGCATGACAAAGGTCATCACAGTGTTCTCCATGAGCCTTTTTTCCAGCTAGCTGACCTGTACCTCATTTTTCCCTTCTGAAATAGGGTACACTCTTCCTCACCACAGCCGAGGTGCTGCTGGACACATTTGTTAGCTCTGTGCATAGCACAGAGCACCCCCAGGGTCCCAATTAAAGCACAAGCACTGCCATGCCCCACTGGAAACTAGAGGGCTACCTGCAGACACAAGCAGACCTGTGCAAGGCACCAGAGATTCTGAAGTCAACACAAAACAGACAGTTGCATAACTGCCAGCTTTGCTTTCAAAACAGCAGTCTTGTAAAGCTGGCAAATCAGAGCTTCCCCAGTATACAGCCAGACAAGTCACTGCTGCTATTCATGAAGCTAAAAGCAAACACAGAAGTCGTACTCTACAAGCTCCCCTCGAAATTCCTACCCTTATTTAACAGCCAAAGGAATTTGGCACGCATGGGGAGAGGCTGAAGCTTTGGGATTACAGCGTTGCAGGCTGCAGCTTTGTGCTTCTTTCTCAAGGCCAGGCAGACACAAGTCCCCAGCACCCGGGTCTCCTGGGAAGAGTCTCCTCCAGCAGTGCCGAGAGCTGCCAGGAGACGGAGCGCTGCCCCAGCCTGCAGCGCTGCCCTGGCCTCGGCCTGGCCCAAAGCCAAAAGGGAGCTAGAAATTGCATAAATCTCATCCAAAACCTCTCCAAGGGGTAGCAAGCACAGGTGTATATCCAGGACAGCACTGCGGTGACCCTGGGACAGTTACTCTGAGGAGCAGTAACGAAGGCTTGCCAGGAGAGGCTGCCCACGTAGGTCTTGGAAAGAAGGCAGCAGCTCAGTCATGGTTACCACAGTCTTTGAAAAACTAATTTCTCAGTCAGCTGTTGCTGCCAAACACAGAAACCAACTTCTCCTGTAGCCACCAGAGAGGAGGGCCACACGAGCATCCTCCTGAGCACGGGACTGCCTGCACTTGGAACGGCATCACCCAGCAATGGGAGAGCAATGCTGTCTCCTGAGAACATTACATCCTCACCTTCTGAGCTGCCAAAAAGCACGCCAGTTACTTCTGATACTGACAACTGTGATCCAGGCACTTGTCTAATGCGGGCTGGACAGAGCCAGCTCGTCCCACCTAGTTCTTTGCGCTTCTGCATCCAATGGTATTCAGGAGTTTGCAATCACGAGTGAGCGCGAGGACTTGGCACCACACTGACATAAGTAGAGATTCAGTGCTTTTTCAGAGAGACCTAAGGCATGAAGACTTTAATTGTCTTGCTGAGGATCTCTCAGAACAGCTCTGGCAAAGTTCAGGAACAGAACCCAAGTCTCCCGACTCCCAGTCCTGGCGTTGGACTCGAGACATCTTTCCACACGTAAGTCCTGAACCATCAGTCAGAAGTTCATGACTTTGTCACTAACACCACAGCTGGATTTGACCTTGAGATGAAAGTCTCCAGCCCTGTTACCAATGTCCAGAGCCAGCTAGTATCCAACCACACCGTGATTTTAAAACCATGTTTCTGCCAACACCAAGATGTTAAAGCTCTCTCAAACTTCATTATGAAGTGTGGAGAGTGGCTTGAGCCAGACTGGAATCTTGGCAGCAGTTCTGTGTTGGGGAAGTAGCTGTAGTTTAATCCTCAAACGAGCAAGGACTTCTCAGGGCATGACAAACATGGAGCTCAGCTGTCACAGCCTACCACCCACCCTGAATTTCCTGGAAGAGTCCTGACATTTGCAGCTCTGTTCAGCATCGTGCAGTCAGGCATGCAAAGTGGTCCCAGCTTGCCAGCTCTGATTTGCTCTGAAGTTGCTTTGTTCTTCATAGCATCATTTTTCCACAGTCATGTGACATGGCACATGTTCTTTCATATATCATCACATCATGCAGACTTCTGACTGCTATCCCAGGAGGGGAGCAAAGGAAACTCCTTTAGCAAAGCGTCACCACTGTCTGATACCTGAAGTGTTGCAACTGAAGGAGAGGAAAAAACATGGGAAAAGGAGAGGAAAATAAGATACCTGTTAAAGACCGGAAGCCTCAGAATGAAAATGTGTAGAAAATGCAGCAAGCAGAAAAAAGGATTGGTAGCAGAACTGGGAAGCTTTTCCCTTGGATGTCACCCAAGCCACAAACACCAGCATAGAAAACTGAAAACCACAGTAAGAGAAGAGGTTAGGATGAGCCACAACCTGAGCCTCTTGGCTTCCCAGACAGCCAAAGGATGCGCTCAGTACGCACAGTCCCCTTCAGCAGAAGGCTTCCAAGCACTTCAGAGAAGCGAACTACCAGGACCTGCCACCCTACTGCAAGAGATAAGTGTTGTTTACCAATGTGTTTGCTGAGGCTCACAGCAAGGTCCCAGGGAGTGGGGCAACACTGAGGTAAGAACCCAGAAAATTCAACTAGCAGCCACTGCTGTTACTAGAACAGATCAAACACCTGACTGCCCTTGGAGACTGCCTGATCAGTGTCAGATAAGCTACAGGTGCTCATCTGCATGCAATTGTTGTTTGGGAAACAGAGCCTCTTGCTTGTGTCTCTAAGTGACTGCCCAGGAAGTGGTAATCTGGGGAGGGAGCACGACATGACGGATTAACTAATTTGGGGGTATGAAGCTAGAAATACTGGAGAGGTCAGAACACATTGAGGGATGGCAGCCAACAAGCCTCACGCCTCAGCACACAAGGATATGTTCCCCTTGCTCTCAAGGAAGTGTCACTGAACACAACAGCCAGATGTGACAAGAAAGAGTGTCACATTCTTGAATCAGAGCCTCAAAAATCAGGTCAAAGAGACAGGCATGATCTCTGCCATGACCCAAGCAGGATAGCCTGTCACACACAGGAACTACCTTCCCCCTTTATGGATTTCCCTTGCCCTTTGACACTTACAAACAAAGCTGTTTGTACATGAAGACCACATGAGAGGGAGGGCATGAAACTCATTTCCACATCACAAGAGATGGTTTTGTTAGTGTGATTCATTCAGCCATTGCAGTTTGTGCCCGAGGAGACCTCAGCAACTCTCAGAGGCTTCTACTTATTTTTATTTAAGTTCCAAGTTGAAAGTTTCATCACTTACTGGTGGGTTTCGGGATAACAAGAGGAATGAACTTGCCTTTTTGACTGGCAAAGAATCTGGAAACTGAGGACTCCAGGCTTTATTCTACTTGCTACTCTCATAGCAATGAAGTAACCTATCAACCCAGTATATAGAACTGGCATATTGTCTTTTGAACAAGGACAATCCATCTTCTGCATTAAAAGAAGATCAGAACAAAGTTCATGGTAGTTCCTCTAATTTATAGTACCCATGGCCTGATTTACAGACATGCCAAAAATCTAAAACTCCCCGTAGAAAATCAGGGTGTTCTGAAATCAGATTTCAAATATGTCAGGTTAAGTAACCTAATCTTGAGCTATTTGGTTGCCTTGGAAAGGAGGGGAGGTTGGAAAGAACTGGGCAGGTATTAACATAGAAGTGAAGATCCTATGAGAGTACTCAGAGAGTCCGTTTCTCAGAGTAGCTATCAAGAACATATTTGGTTCCCAACACCACCATCCCCACTCCAGACACACCATCATAACTATCCTCTCAAAGCCTACCAGACACTCAAATCACCTCAAACCGGTGCCACAGCTGATGCAGGGACAAGGAGTACCTTTGCCATCATGCTTGCACTCACAAGCATGGCAGAGTCCATCACTCTGGGAATCAAACCTTGTGCTCTTTTTTTTCCAACCGCCCCAGCTCTTTCATCTTCCTGAGCACAAAGGCAGTAGTTCCCCAGGGAAGAACGTAACCAGGGGAGTTTCAAATATGCTCCTGCAGACACTGGACAGAAAAACAAAACCTGCAGCTCCAGGAGTGTTGGAGGCCATTATACGTGTCTTCTGCCGTTGCAAAAGGGGAGGAAAAGAACTCTAAGTCTGTGCACATCTGGTTTGCACAACTTACCAAGAGTCTAAAACCCAAAAGAATCTTACACACCTCCCATCCCAAGTTGTACAGAGCAATACTTCACAGTCTCTGTCCCAAGAAAAAAGACAAAAGGACACAGAGACAGGTGTTTCTATGCCACCAGAGTAATCATCAGCTCCTGTCTTTATTAACAATTAGATCTCAGTGCTATTACGGAGTAGCACTGCACTTCCCTACCAGCAAGGAGGAGGAGCGCCCAGACAGCATGTCTGGACAAGATCAAAAGGCCTTAGTTTATCAGCCTGAGGACACCTGTGCCTGTGCACAACCTCCTAAGCAGATGGCCCTCCACCTGTGCCCAGCCAGCAGCACACAGCCGTCCGCATTGTTCCCAGACCTCAGAACTCACCTTTGTGCTACAGCTCTAATCCCTTACACACCCAGAGCCTCTCTCTATCCTTTTCACAGGAGCACTGTTCACCCTGTGTGCATGGAAGAGCAGGCATCTTTTTCCAAGCATATGACTCTACATCTTGGAAAGCAATAAGGGAATTAAACACATAAAAGAGTTCGT